TTTTTTTTTTAAACTAATGCGACCTGGTGATATATGTATGTGGTTTGTCTACTCATGGATTTTATAATTTACTTAGTAATGGACGAATCAGTTTATGGCAGAATTATGCACTTGGGTTAGACGTTCCTAGCTTCTGAAAAGTGATATTGTGTATTTTCTGTGTGTTAGGATTTGCTTTTGTTTACATGGAGGATGAAAGAGATGCGGAAGATGCCATTCGTGCTCTAGACAGAATTGAATTTGGCCGAAAGGGCCGTAGGCTTCGTGTTGAGTGGACGAAGGTAAAATATGCAGTGTGAGCTTGTCATTTATGAAACTATGTCAGTTGCATAACCTTAAAGTTTTTAAGTGCAAGAACTTCCTTTCATGTGTTGAATAACAGCAAGAAAGGAGCAGCAGGCGACCAGAAAGCAGTAGAAGATCCTCATCTAGCCTGAGGCCTTCGAAGACCCTATTTGTAATCAACTTTGATCCCTATCATACTAGAACAAGGGATTTGGAGAGGCATTTTGATCCTTATGGGAAAATATCAAATGTAAGAATCAGGAGGAATTTCGCCTTTGTGCAGTTCGAATCTCAAGAAGATGCGACAAAAGCTTTAGATGCTACCAACATGAGGTGAGCTCTATTAATGACGGATCTTAAAAAAGTTAAAACATAGCCTGTTCTCAAACTGAAAATTTTTGTTTCTATTACAATATCCTCCGTCGACCTGTCCTGATTGGCATGTGTATTTTGTACAGCAAACTTTTGGATCGTGTCATCACTGTTGAATATGCTGCCAAGGACGATGACGACAGGCGAAACGGGTACAGTCCTGACCGAGTCCGTGAGAGATCACCAAGGAGCGGGTATGAAAGGGCAAGATCCCCCAGTCCACGTAGGAGAGATAGGGAAAGTCCTGATTACGGGCATGGTCGTGCCCGTAGCCCTAGCCCACACCATAGAGAGCGAGCGAGCCCGGACTATGCTCGTAGGCCCAGCAGGAGCCCCAGCAGGAAGGAAAAGGACTCTTACCGTGGTCGTGGCAGAAGCCCGAGCCCCAGGAAGGGGAGAGATGTTGATTACCACCACAGACGCAGCCCGAGCCCTCGGAAGGACAGGGACTCTGATTCCCACCGCCATCATAAGCGTAGCCCGAGTCCTCAAAGGGAGAGGTCCAATGGTGACAACGGCCATGGGCCCAGCCGGGCCAACGCGAGCCCAGGATATGGGCATGGACCCAGTCCAAGTCCCAAAAGAGAGGATCATAGGGAGAAGGCAATGAGCCCAGATGACTATGGTCGTGAGAAAAGTCCTGCCTATAGTGATGCAGAAAGCCCTCCTCGTGAGCATGGGTATGGGAGGTAGGTGTGTATGTTTTGGTTTTTGGGTAAAAAGTACAAATATAAATTGTGTTGATACAGTTGGGTTTGATAAATGCAGTCAATCGCCTGGGGCGCGAGAGCTTGAAAACTAGATGATAAATTCTGTTCGATTGAAGCCAGTACTGCTGCTGCACTTCACAAACATTGTTACTGGCAAGGTAACAGAATCACATTCACACCACCATGTTAGAATCGTCACTTCATTTTAGATGGACAATTGCATTTGTTTCCGAATATTCGATTTGTGGATTTTGCACTGAATTTGATGTAGCTAGTGTGTGGTATTTGCTGCTGAAACTTGTTAAAACTTTCATTTTGTTTTTGCCTTTTTGTATTGGCTTCATATGGATTGTTTATTTCTATTATATTTTGACGACTGGACATTATTTGTTGCCTGTAGAAACCATTTAGCTCGCTACTGATGGGCAATCTTCGTATTCCTCTGTTTCTTGTATCATCATAGCCATTATTTCTAACTTAAAATGGGGGGTTGAGGCTGAAGTGCTTATTCATGCTACTAACATAAATCATGTTTTTTTTAAACGTAAAATATATCACGGATTTAATTTAATTGCACAATTTTTAGTATTATTAATATAATTAAATAATATCAATCAATTATATTTTTTAATTTATTATTCATCTACTTACATAATTTTAAATAATAATTACTTTCAATAACTTTAATCTTGCTTTTACATCATTTTAATTTTAATTATTTTATTTATATATTAATTTAATGCAAAATTAAAATCCATTCAAGCTTAATTGAAACAAATATTTCAATATTAGTTACGGTTGATAAAAACAATCAATTAAAACTAAATTATTCAATCACGTTTGAATAAGGCATACATTAGTGCAGTTTGATTTAGCTGTCTAATAATAATAATAATAATAATAATAATAATAATAATAATAATAATAGTTATCAAGTTATAATTATAATAATAATAATAATAATAATAATAATAATAATAATAATAATAATAATAATAATAGTTATCAATTATGTATTATAACGTAGAGAATGGATTAAATGAGTTTATTTTTGAAAAGGTGTCAAATTTAATCCTAGCTATTAAATAGAGAAAGTATCTGTGGCAAAAGTTTTATCTTTTATTTTATTTTTAATTATTTAAATATTTGGGTTGATCGTATGCGGTCCTGACGCTTCATTTGATATCAATTACGTTTATATTATATATGAATGAATTAAATATATCACAAAATGTGCAGTTCTGAAACAACAGTACCACTGTTGTCACAACCCACAATTGTCACTGTCGGTACCAAACTATACTAACTATGTATATGTCAGTTTTGAATTAAATATGCATTATGTATCTACAAAATTTGCAGTCTTGAAAGTGCCGATGTTGTTACTGTTGTCAATGCCGATACCAAAATATATATGCAATTAATATGAACTAAATATGAATATGTCAATTTTAAAATTAGATATGCAATTGATACCAATTAAGTATGCAATTATGTATGAATTAAAAAGCTTCAAAATATGAAATTAACATCTACTAAAGTATACAATTACGAATGAAATAAATATGCACAATGTATGAATTAAATGTACAACCTTAATATAGTCAGTGCAATTTGCAAATGTCGTCAGTCAATATTGGTCAATGCTGTTGACCGTCAGTTAACTTCAGTCAAATTGTAAGATCGACTTCTGCAACATCAATTAATTCTAATAGGATGACTATTAATTTATATTTCTTTATAATTAATATAAATTTTAATCTTTGATTCATTAATTCCACACAAATATATGGTTAGAATTTCATCACATTCCATTTTAAAGAGGAGTCATTTTGGTTTACACAATAGCAGTTGTAGTCCAAAAGTTCAAACTTTTTACTTTTGGTCATGAGATTTAATATTTTGTTTCAATTTCAGTCAATTGAAAACTACAACTAAATTTTAGATTACACTAGTATTCGACCTGTGCATTTCCACAAATATATAAATAAAGTATTGTGAGTTATTTGTATACATATAATGATTAATGACTTTTGTCAAATTTACAATTAAAGGAGCTTAAATATTTATTTTTTAAATTGCGTTTATCGGATGTAATGTATATTTTGCTATGTATCTTTCTTTGTGAGTTATTTATTATTTATTTAGGAATTTCAAATATGTTTTTTTATTTTCCAAAAGAAGTTAATTTTAATGTAACCACAACAATAACATCTAATCACGTTAAATAGTTAACACATTATATGATCAGCTGTAAGTAAATCAAAAATTTAAAATGATTTTTGTAATTTTGAATTGATTAGTGTGTTGATTATATAATAATTAAATGAGAGGTTAAATAAATAAAAAGTAACGGTTTTTGGAGGGAAAAAATTATATTGCCACATAGGTATAATTTAATAGGTTTTATTAAATGCTCATGAGCCAGCAATTATATATATATAGATGACTGAAATTGCAACAAAATTATAAATTACATCGATAACCTGAGTATTTATTGCAATTTCAGTCATTTGAGAACTGAAATTCCAACAAAATAATAAACCACATGACAAAAAGGCGAAATATTAAATCAACCATAGTCTTTTGCTTTGAATGAAAGCCCATAATTAGCTTAAAATAATTGTGGGAAATTTCATTTTGAGATATATAAAAAAAATTCCATTTGTCAAGTCAAGATGCATCTTTTAGTCCATTTGATCCCCTAATGATATGGCTTAATAAATTTGGAAATTTAACAATTTTGATGACACACAATGTATATAATAAAAATTTTGCATATACATCAATCTAGTAACCAAAAATATATCAAAAAAAATAAAAATAAAATAATGGTAAGTGTGAGAATGAAATAGTTAGGCATGCCTAGTATTTCATGACACTGTGCTTAGAACTGATCCATGGTCGACACTCGACATGTCGACATGTCAATCAATCATTGGCCATGCCTTAGCTTCAATGCTTTTCTACAAGTTTACACATACAATTAAGTGGCTTCTCCATATATTTGTTTGATATTAAGGCTATAATTAGTAAATGATGTAGCGAAAGCGTGAACGAATGTGAAAGCTACGAGATACTCTCTCGAACTTGGGATACTCTCCCGAAAGAATACGAACAATTTTAATTCATTCTCCAATTCCTCCAATACAAAGCTGAATGAGCCTTTAAATAAGACTCTAACTCTAAACATAACTTATTATCCAAGCTAATAGTAATAATAATAATAATAATAATAATAATAATAATAATAATAATAATAATAATAATAATAATAATAATAATTTTAATCATATATATCTCCATCAGTAAACCTAGCTGATAGTTGATAAACTAGTTTATAGGTTATCAATAATTTTCGAACTTATACCTTATAGCTTATGATTTATAGCCGAAAAACTAACTTATATGATAAAAGTGTTTGGTAAAATTAGCTGATAAACTAACTGAAATAAAAATTCAACGAAACTTATTTGAGAAGCTACCCAAAGAAGTTTATGCGATATGCTCGAGCCTTTTAAAAAAACTCGTCCTACAAAACAAAATTGATTTAAATACATAAAGCTTATAAGCTAACGAAATAAATCATAAGTTAGCTTATTTATCTACTAAACACAGCCTAATTTGTCTACCCAAAGAAGGAACAATGAGAGGATATATACACCAAATATTTTCAAAGATTTCCTTGCAGCTGACTTCCCTTCATGCTTAAATCCAAATTTGATTATGTTCAAAAAAAAAAAGTGTACTTTTTTAGATCTTAATGTCTTCAATTACTTGTATTTTCACCAATAATAGTATTAAGAGTGATTTTTATTTTTCCTAATTTTGATTCTACACATCAAAGAATCTTGAAGATTTCTTTTAAGTGTTCTTTTTTTAATAATTGAACTCATATCTTACGTAGATAAGGACTAATAGTCATGGAATGTGATTTGAGATATTGATCATGTTATAATTTGATCTTATAGAATCATTCTCTATCATAAAAGGAAAAAGAAAATCACAACATATATATAACTTTCACTTTCAATTTTTGTTTTTATATCACTTGGACTGATTTGGAAAAAAATAAAAATTATAAATATAATCGTGTTTCTCTTGTCTTCTCTTTTTTTTTTTAAATAGATTTAACTATTAAAGTCATAAATCTAATTTGAAGTGATTTGTGTGGAAACTCGTTTAATTATGTGAATTATTAACTAAATAAAAATTTTAGAATCAAATTAACCGTGTGTAAGAAACTAAATTAACACAAATAAGAAAGATTTTAATTTGTTCTTCTCAATGTAAGTCATATTAATCTGTGCATTGCAAATGGAGCTGGAAGAGTCATTGTTGACAATTCTATTGACATAGTGCTAATAATGGACTAGATCAAAATGACTCAATTAAATTCTAGTGCTTCTTCTATTAGTAAAGTTTCTAGAAAAAAAATATATCAAACGACGCAATGCACCTTGGGTCGCTACGGAAACAACCTCCTTGTATAATTAGTTCATAAACTGTATTTTTACGGCTATTTGCATATGTACCGTGATTGAACATAACAAATTACAAGTTACATAGTTTTACAATTATTTGCGCAGGTACGGAACTAAAACAAAATAATTAGGTAGTTGCTAGATACTAAAACACTGCATTGATATATCGTTTCCTAACTAAATCCCGTAACGGAAGGATTGCACCATACTAATGAAATATCATAACTGAACGGGTTTACATTAATAACAAAATATCATCCCTAAAAATGCTCTCTCTCTCTCTCTCTCTCTCTCTCTCTCTCTCTCTCTCTCTCTCTCTCTCTCTCTCTTCACTGTAACTTAACCTTAACCTGCTATATTAGGAAAAAAGCAAAACATTGATTATATACTCAACATAACCATATACATATACATTTATGCGATTGTGTTTACGAAAACATATACTGAAATTATACAACCTATATACACAACTTATACAATATATAAACATCACATATACATTTTTGAAAACAACTAAAGAGTTGCAGCCCCATATACTGTAAGTATATCATTCGTGCACATATACATAACATAATCGTGTTATATACAGTCCGTTACATGTTCTCTCA